TTTTTTTTGTTCTTTTCAAATATCTATGATTAATAGCTGTATGACAATGCAGCAAATAAATAATCATACGATAATGATTAGTAAAAGCACAAAAAAAAGGATAAAACCGCTGGACACTGCTCGGACTAAAGTACTAAAATGCAAATGGACTGTGGCATAAATACATGTATTCAGCACACTTTGCGGCATACAAAGCGATTTTGTATTAGCAACATGTAAAAATCATTTAGTTTTTTTTTCACTCCTCCCCCCTTCCTCTGATTTCCACCCACACAACACATATTTTAACGCCATTGTCGTCCTGGTCAGTGTTTTTGTCATTTAGTTTTCAAAGTCGTAGTTTTCCTCGTCGTCGGCCACATTTTTCTAGACTACTGTTAGATGGAATCCATTTTTTCGTTTCATTTCATTTTGTGGTTTGGCGTTGCTGTTGTTTTTGTTCCTTTTTTTGTTTTTTTTTTTTTTTCGTTTCTGCTGTGGCCACAAAAACACAGTCTTCTAATTAGCACACTGTCATGGTAGGCTGGAGACTAAAAAAAAGGACAGTCACAAATGCCACAACCATCGTCATCATCATGCATGATGGCATTTTCTGGGAGTATATGTATATATATGTTTGTGTGGTGGTCATTCCCACCATTTCAATGCATGTTTCTGTTGTTGTAAGAATAGAGAAAAACTCAACTGAGAAAATCCCCATTTGAATGTTTGTTAGACAATGACCACAGTACTTTGTTTTTTCTATTTCGTTGCCTGCGAGAGGGATTGGTATTAACGGATATGTGGTCTTTATCTAAATTTGCAGACATTTGTAAAGGAAAACATGAGAAAAAAAAACACAGACAACAAAACAAAAATCGTGTTAACATTTCATATGTATTTGTATTGTCGGTTGCTAAGTTGAGAAATTAATCAGATGTCCAGACATTCAGAGAAGTTTTGTTTCTTTGTTTGTGAATCTATAAGTTTTGTATACTTTTTGTTTTTTATGTCAAATTGTTCGTTGACATGTAGCTTGCAGAAATACTCATTAACGTTGTGGGGATGTGTTAATGTCTGATGCGAACATAAATAACAGCTATGGACATGGGTGCGTATAATGTATGCAACACACGTTGCTCATACTTTCCAGGTTACTTATACCTAACACATGGAACTCAAGAGACTTGAACAATAAGTATTTTAGTATTCCTTAATATTCTGAAATAGAATTTTCGAATAAATATTCGTCAGGGAAATTGTTTTATAATGAAGTATAATTTTTTAAATTTAAATTGTTAATGGATAATAGTTGTAAAAGTTTCAAATTTTGGTTCATATTTATAATAAAAATTGTTGGGTAGTTTTGAGACTAAAAACATATGGGGCCTATATAGTTTCATTAATTGAAACTAAATACCGTCAGTGACATGCCTTAGTGTTTCTTACGTCATTTAGCAAGTGTGGAAGAAAATATTTTAAAGTTTAGATCACGAACCGCTTAAGGTTGTGTTTTATTATTTTTTTGATTATCTTGGTTTATTAAGAATAATCTTGGAATTATTTACCATGGATTTGGTGATGTTAGTCGGTCAGTCTATTGAAACCAAAAAAAGGCTTACATTATTTGGTATAATAGGCATTGTGTCTAGGATGATTAGTATTGATCCCAAAATTTTGACAGTCCGTAGAAAAAATGGAACCAATGAGTTTATCGCAGAATGAATGATGCAGAATTATTTGCTAATTGCACACTTCTGAACATTTTTACAGAAATTCTTATGTATTTTTCTATGGAAGTTGTTAGTTATTTATAGTTCGTAATGAGTTCCGGCGTCATATCTTTGTTTGTACAGGTGCACGTTTGCCTGTAGCCCACACATTCGATTTTTTTTTTTTGATTTTTATCGCTGTATTAGATTTTTTAATTGCTAATTTTAATTATTCCGAAAAACTATCTCATAATGAATAATTAGTTTCCATTTAACTTTTCTTTAGGTGGTTGTTAAAAAATAACAAAATTCTGGTCAAATTTGGAACAGGAAATGGTTAGTCCAAGGTGGACATTTTAATGTTGAGCCACTTTCACCATCGGAGTCTTAAAATGTAGTCGGAGTCTTAAAATATATAAGTGTGACTCGTGGCATATTTTTTTATTTCTTACATCATTACTTTAAAATATCGATTACGCTTGTAATGCATTTAACCAGAAAAAAATTGAAATTAATGACAGAAAGTAATGAGACGAGCCCGCTTGAATTGAAGCCTGGGAGGACAACACCGAAGCATTTATTCGTGAGATATCGGCCGAAATATTGGCACGAGTATACCAAAATTGGACTACGCGGGTGGAACATTTAAAGTGCAGTCGCGTTCAACATTTGTATGAATCAGTCTTGAAACATAAAGTTGTATGAATCATACTATCGCAACAAATAAAGTTTCATTTATTTTTCAGTATGTATTTGACGTAGAGGCTCAGAATTGCAGAATCATTTGTATTGTATTTAGGATGGTTGGTATTAAAAATGATATATATCGATCCACATTTTGGAATAGTCCCCATTTAACGATACCTCCCGATTTTCGGTATTTTGATGATTTTTAGCCACATTTTTCCAAAAATTGGTACTTGTAGGTCGTAATGGATTCTAGCTCCTGTGGCAGAATATAGTGTATATAGGTCCACGATTTGGTATACCCCCCACATAACAGTATCTCTCGATATTCGGTGTTTCTCGATATTGCTATTTGTAGTTCATAATGGGTTGTGGCTCCGGTGGCAGAACATAGAATATTAAGTTCCGAGTTTCCTATAGCGCATATATATAACAATACCCACCGATATTCTGTATTTTGACAACCCTAGTCAGATCTTTTAAGATTTGGACAGAACTTATACATGTATCTTTATCCGATTTCAAGTTTTTGATGCGCCAAGTAACCACTTAAGCCACCACCACGAATTGAATGGAGGAAAGTGTGGCGAATTTGGTGAAAATTTATTCAGATATAGGCATAGATTCTTATATACGTTTCATCCGATTGTGAATTTAAGTTCCTCACCATATTTGGTTTCTGCTCTCAGATGAAGCATTTGTATTGAGCTCCCATACATTTCTTTATCCGATATTACGCTTATTGTGCCCCAGATGTCTAAAAATCTATCAGATATAGGTTAGAAATATATGTAAACGTATAAACGTTCTCAAAGTCGAGGGATACAAATGCCTCCATCCATTGTGGAAATCGATTTGGATGTTAGTTGTATTTGTTTTCAAATTATAAGTGGTCTAAAACATAAACATTGATAGTAAAATCTACATCACATAAATGTTTAAAATGAAGATTTATTTGTTTCAGGTAGCTGTAGTGAAAATAAATAGGGTTAGTGTATCAAGTAGCCCAACTTTTGACTTTTCAGGACTACTTATTTTTTTATTTATTTATTACTTTTTTTTTTTTTTTTTTTGAAATTTGTTTTGCCTCTGCGGGTGAGAAAGTGAAATTTTTTCGATCTACTTCTTCGGTTACAACCCCTTCCGTCTCATTATAATATTTAGAAAAGGCTGAGGTGGCCATATTGGCTTACACATCCTTGCCCTTCCCCACGCAGTTCCAAATTTTGAACAGTAATAACTCTCGGACTTTTTTCAAAATTGGAACGTCCCAATACTCCTGTATAAGTGTGAAATTCAAATATATGGATCAACCCAAATAATCCCAAATTTTTTATAAACTTCTATTTCGAATTCTGGTCTTATTATGTACGGGTAACTTCTTACAAAGCACTATCCCAACTCCTTGTTTTAAAATGAGCACTTCATACGATGTATATACTACCAAATTGTTGGTAATGGATTATATAACCTCTCAGGATGTTCAAATATGAATGATAAAATATTTCTGATCGAGGAGGTCTCAAAGCAAAAGAACCGGAATCAAAATGAGGCAATTTTTAAATTTCTAAATTTTAGAACCAAAAAGTCTGCTTGTGACGTCCTAGAAACTTTAACTTTCTTAACAACATTTGTCTTCACTTTGTAATTATAAAAAGCTTATTATGCTATATATGCTAATGCTCACGAGTGTGTAAACTATCATAAAATTATATTTCCAATAACTTTTTTTTGGAGAGAACAAAAATTCTAAGTTTTCGGTTAAGTTTCGAAATTAAAATTTAAAATTTTCTTCTACTTGGAATATGCAAATGACATATTGTTGGACAAAGTACACAAAAGACGAACTGCCTAGCCTTACCACTGTTTTATATTGTTATTTTATGGTTATCCTTAACAATGTGTACTGTTGTATGCTTCTGTGTGTGTGGGTGTGTCATAATATTACCGGATGTTCAACTTCTTTTGTATCATTGAAGCACACATTCTAGCTTGTTAGCCTTTGTTCACAACTTCCGTTTTGGTTGTTTTTCTTTGGCATGGCAAAAGGCTTCAGCGGCAATCTCTTGTTCGAATCGCCCATCCGCACACCCTTTTCTCGGGCGTTGGTGACTGACAGGAAGATTGAAAGTTTATTCTAAAACTAAGGACAGTTTTAATGAGCACATAATGTCTGATTAAAATTCTATCAAAACTTGTTTGTATTCCTTCTATAATTGGTTGATATGTGTTTGAGTGTGTGTGTGTGTGCTGAGGCTAAATTCAAAGACTCCAGCCTTAGCCATGGCATATTTCAATTTCCATTTAACCTTAGGTAGTTTTCAAAGTTTGCTTCATCAAGAATAGATTGGAACTTAACGAATAGAGGAACTTATCTAATTATGCGGACACAAAAACTTAACTTGATGTTTTTTTTTTTTTTTGTCAAGGAAGTCGAAGAAAATTAGCTTGAGGACAACAAAATGGGAAAATAATCACATCCTTTTTTATGTTTACGATGCATACCTCCTATAAGTTTCGTATTTCTTTTTAACATATATGTAAATGATAAAAAAACAGATTTTAATATTTTTTAAAATTATTCAATTATTCATTCAATTTATTTTTTCTTTATATTTTCAGATTTTTTCTACCATTAACAACTGTGAAGGTAAGCTATATATATGTAAAATTAATTTAAACAATGAAAACAAGCTCAAAGGAGGCTTCCCTTTGGGAATAAATAATTAATTTTAATTATTTTTATTTTTTATAATTATTAATTATTTTCACTTATTGGCATATTTAATTATATGATTTTATTGAGAGAATGATGAGTATTCCAACAAGTGCTCTTATATTTAATTGTCCTGCATTTCGGTAGCTGGGATTGAAGTTTTTAAAAAAAAATTTCATCCCTAGTCTGCAAGACTAAAGAATATTGATGAGGCCTGTTATTTCATCGGTGACTGCATAAGCAAGCAAAATGTCGAACTGGAGCTCGGGATTCCCTGATGATATTTTGAGAAACCTATATATTCGGTTGTTTGGTGTTGTTTATCGTCCGCAGAGGTTAGTGGATCTAATCTTTGCAAAAATGATATTATGGTCTCACACCCTAGCTTTTTTTAGATGAAATCCGTTTCTCGTTTTGCAAACCAAAACTCTTGAAGGAAGTATCCGAGTTGGTCCAAACTTGGTACATCGTAATATTGTTATCACTCTTAGATTGAGGTCAGAGATGGGCAATATTGGTTCACACCTTCTTGAACCACCTACACAAAAAGTCAACATTTTAAAAGAAAATAATTTACCTCATAAGAACTGAGAGGATAATTTTGCTCCATGTTTGCAAATCCTAATATTTGTATCAAATAAATTTCAGGTTCTAGAATGAACAACATCCGCACACTCCTCCTGGTACGTCCCCAACAAAGAGATAAATCTTTGATTAACAATATTGGTCATAAAATGTGAAATACGTTTTCGATTCTTTTCATACTTCGCACCTCCCGATATTTCAATCAACACAATATGTGATGCAAACATGAGATATAGCTGGCCACTCTTTCTGGTATCTTTTTTTTTTAAAGAAATTGCATTCAAAATGGTGTATGGGTTAAAATATATGCACCACATCCTCCTAGATACCTACTCACCCATCTAACGATAACTCCCGATTTCGTTATTTTCATAATATAAACCAGATCTTCCGACATGGTTTGTTGAAATTTAGTTGTCATTGTTAAAATCCGAAAAATCTGTACTTAATGTCATATTTTCGTATGGTTTAGGTCATAAAAGATCTGTTCGTAACATGGTTTTCTCGTCGGCTGAGGTAAGCTCAGCTGTAGTCAGGGTCTTCATAAGGACCCACTAAAACTTATGAAAATAAGAAAATTAGATTTCTCCCTTTCTAAATCATATGTTTTATTGATTTACATACAAAATTGCAATTTACAAGCGGTCAAAAGCGATAATATGTATAAAATATCTAGGATGGCGAAATAATTTCGGAGATACTTGAAATTTCAAAATAGAGTTGTATTGGTGATCGCGATTCGAATATCGTAGGCAATCTATGATTCTAGGGTTGATATTCAGAGGGATATTTTTAGATAATCGGAAACTATGATGCAGTGATGTCGGCTTATTCACAATAGATACTCGCGTTGTTGGTGAAGTGTGAGTTCAAAGGCATACTGTTGTCAAAGGCTGGATGTCAGTGTTCTTGTTAATATAGGATATCGGGATACTGACCATTTGAAGGTAATCGAGAACTTTGATAGATGGTCGTCGGATATTAGATATTCATGAGAAGATGTCTAGGTTGTCTAAAACGAAACGAAAGTGGTTCGCATCTTCATATGAGTATTTTCTGTCATATAATATGGATCCAAACTCGTTCGGGTACAGCAGCTTATTGTGGATGTGTCCGAGCTTAGCTGTTTAGGCCATTTACAATGACTAGGAAACTATTCTAGCTAGACTTACGGTTTATGACTACCTCTAATTAATTAATGATACAACTAGCCGAAGCTCTTGTGGGACGACAAGCCAAGACTACTGTAGAAGAACGAGCCGATGCCTCTATGTATTATGAATTACCCGTCGCTCAACTTAATGAGAGCCTGTTCAAGAGGAATTCCCATATAAGGATTCTTTGGCTTCGCTTAGGCAAGCTCCCTGCAGTATCAAGCCTGTCTCGTCGTAAACCAAATTGAAATTGAGTTTTTTATATCTCGATAGAATGACATGTATTTTTATACCCTCCACCTTTGAAAGGAGAGTATATTAAATTTTTCATTCCGTCATAGACCCCATAAAGTATATATACAGGGTTGCCCATATTCGACGGACCCATCTGGCAACGCCATAACTTTTGACAGAGATGTCACATCGCTTAATGACATACCGCGTTTGAAGCGTCAGTCCAAGCAGATTTTTACCATGAACCAATACACGCCACGCGAGCGCTCTGAAATAGTTGAAATTTACAGTCAACAGAAGAAGTCAATTGTGAAAACTCAACGTGCTTTTAAAACATTAAAAAATGTGAGAATTGCGCCTTCTAAGAACACCATTAAGCGTTTATACGAAAAATTTTCGACTGGTTAGGCTCTTTCTAATCCGATGAGGCCATATAAAAGTCGACCAAGGCGATCGGCCGAGAATATCGCTGCCGTACGAGCCAATGTTGAAAGGTCCCCAAGAACATCCCAAAAACGCCGATCTCAGCAGCTGGCTCGGTCCACTTTACATTTACAACGGATTATTCGCATTGATTTGCATTTGTTCCCGTACAAAATTTAATTGACGCAAAGAATGTTGCCTGCGGACAAGCCTCGTCGATTGGAATGGGCCCAAAGGGCCTAAAGGTCCGTCGAATATGGGCAACCCTGTATATATTCGTGATCAGCATAAAATTCTAAGTCTGTTTAACTATGTCCGTCTGTCTATCCGCCTGTCTGTCTGTTGAAATTACGATACAGCTCGCATTATTAGATGTAGAGCTTTAAAAATATTGCACAGTAGTTTTCATTGGGTCTAGGATGATTAGTATTGAAAATGAGATATGTCGGTCCACGTTTTGGGATAGCCCCCCATATAACGGTACCTTCCGATACTCGATGTTTTGATGATTTCTGCCACAATTTCTTACGAATTTGTCTAAAAATTGACTTTTGTTGGGTCATAATGGGTTCTAACTACGGTGGCAAAACATTGTATATGAAGGTCCACGTTTTGGTATATCCCCATAAAACAGTACATCTCGATATTCGGCATTTTGATGATTTTTGCCGCATTTCTTTTCGGATTTGTCTAACAATAGGTATTTATAGGGCATAATGGTTTCTAGCTCGTGTGCCTAAAAATTTTATGTATAGGTCCACGTTGTGGTATGGCCCCATATAATGGTACCTGCCAGTATTTTGATGATTTTTCCACATATTCCCACGGATTTGTATAAAAATTTATATTTGCAGTTTGTAATGGGTTCTAACTCGTATAGCGAAACTTTGTATGTATAGGCACACGTTTTGCTATAGCCCCCATATAACGGTACATGCCGATATTTTGATGATTTATGCCACATTTTTTCACACGGATTTGTATAATTTTTTTTTATTTGTAGTTCATAATGGATTTTTGCTCCGGTGGCAGTACATTGAATATTTAGTTCCATGTTTTCCTATAGCGCACATATAACCATACCTATCGATATTCGATATTTTGAAAATCCTAGTCACATTTACCCACAAATTTTTTTTTAAATTTGGTATTTTAGAAGATTTAATAGAAGACAATCCTTGAAGTATAAAAGTGTCGATAGAGGTTCCCGCTTTGGTATGGCCCCCTATATCGGTCTCACTCACTTTATGTTTTTTTGATAAGTTTAATTGCATTATTCAAACTGGTATTTGCAGTTTAAAGTGGAATACGTTTTAATTCAGATACTTTTATATAAAAATCTTTCCTATACCCAGACATGGAGGGTATTAATTTTTTAATGTATTTGTTCTTGTTTTAATTCTTTTCAGATTCATTATTCCATTTATGTACAGAGATAGAGTGATGTAGGGCCGGTACGCCCGATTTTGATTTTCCCTTACTATTTACTCATAAAAAAAAAGTTTTGAAACAATTTATAAAATTATCCACGTTTTAAGCTATCAAAATAATCAATTTCAGTGATTAGCCTCCGTCTCATATTTATTTTCTGATAAACTACTCAACTAATTAATGATTGAACCGAACACACATACACGCTGAGAGCGTGTTGTCGATAACAACATCAAATATTATTCGAAAAATAATATACCATTTATTTTGATGATTTTTCTTTATTATTTGCGAAAAACTCATTAAAATTTATTATCGTGGAACATGGATGCGGGTTTTATTGGCTGGCCGCATGTATTTTTAAATGCAGCAGCATGAGAACAACAACAAGAACAACATGCCAATAATATAAGCATTTTGTGGCTCGCGTGGCCCCATATGGCCAGAAAATCGCAATTGCAACGAAATACTATTTAAATTTAAAAGTAGATGAATGTTTATTTTATTCACATTGTTGGTGTTGTTGTTGTTATTGTGGTATAGGATATGTTTGGCAACGACACAACATCCATATAAATTTACAAATACATACATATATCTATTTATTTATATATTATTATGGCTACCTTTTAAATATGAGTGTGCATGCAATGGAACATGTGTGAGTGTGTGTGTTTGAGTCTGCATGTAAGTGTGTACATTTGCTTATTCAAATAAGCTTTTATACCAACACCACTTTGCGACACAAACATATGGGTATAATACACCTGAAAGCAAATAATTTTTGGACCTGACCGGCTGCTTGCTCGGTTGCCTAGATGTCTGTTTTTGGTATTTGTGCATTAAAATAAGCCATTTCCATGTTTATCCGTAACAAACACTCACACTGACACACACTACGCCACAGCACACACTCCTTTTTCAAATGGGTTAATACACTCACGTGTATTGGTGAGTGTGTGTGTGTATGCATGTAGACAGATTTTTCGCTTCCACAAAATTACCGGTATTTTATTGATTTAAGTTTTATGTGCCTGCACTAGTTTTGTGTCACACTCTGGCGTTTCATTTAGTGTTCATCAAATGCTATAGCTTTGTATGTGAGTG